GCAGTGTTTTACTCTTACACCTGCAAAAGTTTTTGACAGGCCCAAACAGTTGCTACATCAGTCTTTACCATTGCAATTGGTGAATTGAACGTAACTCAAGTCTTCAAAGCACTAGTCTACTTTTGACTCTTGCTGACATAAATGGACTTCGGCCATAGTTAAATCGACATCTTAGGCGAGTTCTAAAATGTGATAAAGGCCGATTTTTTCAATCTGGCAGTAAGTGGTATGTCAGAAAACAACTTTTCTGTAGTCAGAAGCAGAAAGGGTTAGAAAACAATCTCAAGAAATCATGTTAGACTAGCAAAATGTGTTTAAATAACACTCTAGACAAGGAAACCTGTGACATAAAAAAGCTGAAAGTGCTGTGAAAATTAGAGTGGTTATGTAAACAGTTGACAGGTTCCTTTTTGTGTTGAACGTGAACCAAAGAAAAACTTTGCAGTAAGTCATGTAAGATCAATCATGACAGAAAAAATGGAAGAAAATATAAATAATTGCACCGCAAGCCTGTCACCGGAAAAACGTGAAAAGGAAGGGTTACGATATTTTAAGGAGCAAAAATCGGTTCGATATTGGCCAGTCCAGATATGGTAAGCAAGGTGTTGATTGACCGCTCCTTACAGTGTTATCATTTACATGTTTAAACCAACTTTTGATTTTCCAAAAATTAACTCAAACTGGCAGGTTACCTAGGAAAGTCTGAAGTATTTGGAAAATAAGAAAATTTTTTTCTAAGAGAAAGCCTTGTCCTGTAAATAATGATAAAAAAAAGAAGATGTAAAGTCGAAGTTTGCCGGAGAACACCATAACTGTTATACCAAAGGAATTTGAAATTGGCCAGAGGAACATATCCTTGGATGAATTTTCTGAAAAAGTGTCGTTGATAACTCTGGCGCACAAATGAAAAACTTAATATCGATGCCCACTTGAGAGACCTAACCATAGTTACAACGATAATAATGAACCATTACTGGCTGAAGTTTTTGTGATATTTAGTGTAAGATCGAGGTAGGGGTTATCAGCCGACCCGGATCACAAAAACCAAATCTAATAATTGTTTCATTATACATTATAAGAAAAGCAACACAAAGCGCGCGAACTTTACTTAATTACCCTTAGAAATCATGCACCGCGGTCATACATGACAGGATTACCCATGACCTTGAGTGTCCTTTTCACGATTATTGTATAACCCGCAGCTCGGTGACGTCCCAGGCACTAATATCGAAAATTTACAGTACGTTTTTGGCCAGTCAGAAAATTATCATCCTTATAAAAACAACTGAACCATCATAATGTTATCGTTTGTCATACAAACTACGGTATTGTACAAGGATTCCTAGCCCTGAGGAAAGCCGTAAAGTCACGAACTCCTGAATTATCAAAATTACGAAGCTTTGTTGATAAAAGTAGTCACTGTGATTTCCTTGCGTTGTTAGAAAGAACATTCTTGAATGAAATGCCGAATCAATTCGACGGCACATGTTGCCTAAAGCAAAGAAAGTGGAATTTTCATTATCTTTTTCAGAAGTTTCGAAATTTGGCTGATCTTATTTACCTTTGCTATGGGAAAACAGCCTGATACTTACGACGTGATATCATGTTTGCAATTTTTATCAATCATTTCAGTAAGATGATAATTTTTCACCAAGCAATTTTTTTTCCTTCAAAGGTGTAGAATAAAAGCAGTTTATTTTCAAACTTCAGTTGACTCTTGTCTTCGTGACATAGGAATCTTGTAGGCGTATATAACATAGGGTTGGAAAGTGGGTTGACCAATCAGACAGTGTCCACTATCTACGGTTATATCATGCCCCCCCAAAAAGCAATTAGTTATCATCAATGGAGCAAAATTCCTCTTACCCTACACAATCAGTGATTACCGCCTTTCGGATAATAGCGTTATCTTTGGTTTCTATTCCCTGAGCTGAATTACTTTCTACTGGTCCATTGAATATGGATATCGGTACTAAAGATGCAACTCAAATGAACTTAATTCAAATGTGACTAAACACCTATAGGCGTACTTGAGTTCAGCAAAAACGAAAACGTTTTTTTTTTCTTTTTTTAACCAAAGGGATCATTTTTAACTAATCCCCTAGACTGCGGTTATTTTATGCGCCAGAAGACCAATATTTACCATCGAGTTCCCAAAAACAGTAACTGCGCAATATTTACGAAGTTTTTTTTTTCTATTTCATCCCTTAAAAATTACTATGGCATAGCGTTGTCTAACGTAACCCAGAAGCAAATATTGAAGTTTGTGAGCAAATAACACCTACTAGGCTTTGATAGACTACAGTCTTGCCTGGAAATCAACGTTGAAAGAAACTTGTTAGAGTAAGTACTAACAGTCTAATAATTAGTATTAAGTAACTTTCTTTTTAGCCTTGGAGAATTATCGGTAAAGAAAAAATCCACGAGTTGTCTTGAGTTTAGGATGAAGTCACGGAATCCTAAAATTGAAACTCAAGGATGGCACTCAAAATAGGTACCGGCTTAGAGGGTTGCACGAAATGAAGCCAAGTTCCAAATAAGGTGTTTGTATTTTTGTTTTTAATTCATCAACGACACACAGTTGTGATTTTTAAAAAGAAGTCCTTTTGAGGCTCCCTTATGATTTCAAAGTATGAATTTATTTTCTCGGCATTTTTGTGTTTTGAGGTAATTAATTGAAATGACAACTTTAGAATTAAAAAAAATAATTGCATTTTGCGGGGGAAAATTTTTTTCTCACAAATACTGCGATGAAATATGTGTTGGAGTTGTTTTGTTTCGTGATGTACGACATAAAAGCAATCGGGAAAAACAATTGATTTATGTTATTAGAAATTAATTAGTAAAACGATTGGAACAATCGCTCTTGTCCTTAAAATTTTCAAAACCAAGAAAAAATATATTTAAAGATGGAATTAAAAAATCAATTAACACCGAGTTAGCAGCCTATAAGCTACAGGTCGGCTTTTAAATCATTGCGGCAAAAATGGTGAAAGGATAAAACATCAGTCGCTAAGTCGCCTCTTCACAGTGTTTACCGCCGGCTGGTCTGTCAGAGGCTCACCGCTCGTGTGTTCAGAAGGTCCAGTTCACTGAGTATCATGTAAACCTAAGCCTCCTGTTTACAATATCTTTAACGGCTTTAATTAATTCCGTACTGTGTACATGAAAATTTGGACTGACCAGCCAATATTAAAATATTGTAGTACTGGATGACCAATTTATTATATCGTTTTTGGCACCTTGAGGTAATTAAAAAAGTCTGCTTTTTTTCACTGACAGTATAAAAGTTAGTTGAGATAGCGTTTTCTCACCGAAATTTTTCGACTAGAAGAAGAGAAAAAAAATTACTAGTTTATGGCTGCTCCTGTCAGCATGCGAAGAAAAGCTTTAAGTTGCATTGATGCCAATTTCCTCAGATCGGTGAGTCCTGAATATCAAGTCTAACTTTTTTGAATAGAAATTTATTCCATTAAAAGTAATAATCCGGAATGGTAGCGCCAAGAGCGTAAGAATTACCATGGAAATGCTAAAAATGTACCAAATTAGGACAATACGACACCCGCAAAGATGGCTGTATTTAAATTTATGGGATTAAGTAAGTGAAACTGTTGATGTGAAGTGGTTTAACTGTCAGCTATTTCCGATTTGTCTTGTTGGTACTTATTATTTGGTAAGCTATATTGTTTTTGGAGGGTTTGAATGTATTCTTTATCTTATTTTAATCATAAGAAAACTCATCTACAAAACTTTATTGTTCATCTAAATTTCTAAGCTATTCGGAGATTAGATTTCATTTGAGATTTTAGTTTTACACGCATTTGTTCCTGGAGGGTTATTTCACTCCGTCTGTAACGCTTTCCACCGACGGTTCTCGCAATGTAATTTTTTTTCCTCACTGTTCTTCATGTTTATTTTATAAAACAGTGCTTTAATGTTTTAGCAAGGCTTCTTTGCAACCTATTTGATGGAACGAAGTTAAACCATACACTGCTGTTGCGAAGCAAAGGTTGTTTGAGACAATGTAAATATGATTTGCTCTCTCTCAATCCAGATTTACGATGTTAGGGTTTTTTAAAGAGGAAGACCTGAGATTTCGTTTTAATGCTACAGGAGCAGGGAAGAAAAAAAAAACAAAAAACAAAAAACAAAAAGAAAAAACAGAGGGTTAAAGTATGATTTTTCCCTACCATGGAATATCTGTCTGAACGCAGATATTTACATCAGTCGTAAATAAACGACTAATTTGTGATCTTTTTTATTTGCGTTTATAAAACTATTTCAGGAAGAGCGTGTAGGTTAAGAGTTTGCTGTTGTCGTTAAAGTCCCACTTAAACTTACCAATAGCAAACAGAGCAGAAATCTTGAATATTTCCACATGCTAAAGATTCTATTTTCGCAGCATGATCACTCAGGATGCTAACTCTAGAAAGTGACCAATTTGTTATCATAATCTAACTATTAAGGTAAACAAAACGTTCTGAAACTTGGAGTGCCACAATGTTCCTATATGCTCTGATTGTTTCACTGCGTTACAAGTATGAAATTATGTCTGCAACTGATGTTCATGTAGAATGCCGTTTTCGTCGGTTATACCATTTTAATAAATAAAAAAAACATGAAAAAAAAAATTCTATTTCCTAAAATAGCAGTATTGTGTGTAAATCTTATATTAACACTCTCAAGTGATTTTTAACTACGTGTGGGCCATGGGAAAACTTGATTATTCCGAGCGTGACGGATGTAGAGAGGATTTTAGTCATGTGGTCAGAGACAGATGCACTTTCCTCGAGTGGCAGCGTTAAATGAGCAAATGACTGAAACGAAAAAAAAGGATTTTCTAATGTTTTTGGTACGTTTCTCCAATTCTCTCTTCTCAGAATTTATTGGAAAACGTGCTCCGGTTGTCGGAAAATACACTCAAAGAAAACTATCGAATTATTTACACAACTAATATCATTTGCTATTTTATTCATTTTTTCTCTCTGAAATTTCAACAGCTTATCCAGATTGCAACATATTAAAGAGGGCAAAGAAGAGCTACCTCAAATATTTGTGGAAAGAAAAGGGGAATCAAGAATTCTACGGCTGAAATTGAAGGTAAGCATACATATCTTTCGCAATGGATACTTGGTTGCTTTGCTCATTGACAAGCTATAGATTTTGTATCAGTGGTAAAGAACAAAACGAAAACCAACTGATAAATTTTAGAGTTGCTTTTTATATCATTATAGATTGGGATGAGTCTTGAACACGAAAACTCTATTGATTTCTCTTTCCCTTCGTTGAACTTGATTTTATATATCGTTGTGGATTATCGTTAAAGAAATGGAAAAAAAACCATATTTAAAAAACATACAGTAATGATGCTCAAAATGCAAACTTCCCTAGTTTCTACTCGCCATTTTTTTATCTGGAAATCTTGCGGCATTTTAGAATTTTTATTTCTCTTTTGATCCGCTTATCTTATCAAGATTTCCTCTCCGGTAAGTAAAAAAAAAAATATATATATATATAAATGGATTTAGTTTTTTTTCGGAGCGAGATGTTGCAGCTACTTTGATGAGGGGAAGAAAGTGGACACCTATTTAGATCGATAAAAACGATGGTCCATTGCAGCAATTCTGGACCGCTTGCATTTAAGCAGCAAAAAATGTCCTGAGCTATAGCTGGATTAATATAATTCCTCTACTGGACAAAACAAGATTTAAGTCTCACATAGTACATGTTTACATTTACATTTCATATATTTTCCATATCTAACTGCGAGGAAGATACTAGATTCAAAGCTATCGCGGAGAAGCTACAAAAATTTTAAAAAGGCTTTTCTCTTAGAAAATATCACCGAATAGTTGTGGAAAGGAAAGAAGTATGAAATAGAAAATGAATCCATGACCTATCAGAGTTTCCTATAACTTCCATAAGACATTTTTTTTTAAGTAGTTAAGTATTCTGAATTGCACAAGGCGAAAGTGTATAATTGGTTTCACACTCACTGGGTTATTCCGCTGTTTTTATTTCCGACTTCAGGAAGTGAAGCTTTCAAAAGATGTATCATAAACAAAAATGCTCCTACAGCTTTGTTTTGACCGATTCGTGAGTCATTCTTCGTAATTGTTGAAGAGCCATTGAAGCAAATTGTTATTGATGGGCCTTTTATCTAAAATAACTTTTTTCGCCCTTTTACTTAATTATCTTTTGGATCCTTTTTGTTCCTTGTTTTTAATGAAGGTGACTGTACAGTGGGGTGATGTGGATGTCTATTGGTTGTTACTTTTTGCTTTCAAAAGATCTATTCAATCGGTGCTGATTTTAGCCTCATTTCCCCCTATTCAAAAAATATCATCTATTTTCTTTAGAAATTCTAGCGAATTTTTTAAGTTTTTTTATTCCCTGGGTAGTTTCCTAATTCAAGACTAAATAGAGGATATTCTTTTGTGCTAGTGAATATCAAATTATGTTAATCCAGAAAAAATATAACTAGGTTTCTATTTTTCAAAGAAAGGCCGTAAAATTCTATCTTTCCCCAGAAATATTTATGAGCTGTCTCAAGGAGCAGGAATTTCAGAATCTCTTTCGTACACCCTTTTTTTTTTTTGCAAGAAAAGCGAAAAAATGATCATGGTATTAAAACAATAATGATAAACTTTTGTAGTGCGGGTGTGATGGCGAAATAGTTCAACTTTACAGGTGAGGTGGGGTCAAGAAAAATTGCAAGAGGGGAGGGTAGGGGAAGCAAAGTTCCTTGGAGATGTAAATAAGCCGGTTACTCAAGAATTACTAATGGATTTTCAATATAAAATGACCTTCCTTTGAGCTACTGAGTTGCTTTTTAAGTTATCAAGTGAGACCGAAATACCATAAAATAAATTGTTAGTGCCCTCGAGGAATGAAATTAAACCTTAGAGACACCCATACAAAACGATTATGGTTGCTTGTTGGTTTTGACTTTCTCTAGAATAGTCCATTCATTTGCAATAGCTTTCCCCCGATGGAAAACATCATGAAGAAGAATCTTATCAGAGAAGATCTCATGAATAGTAAAAAATTTCCTATGATAATTGCCAGGCAAGCAAAGATAAGTGAAATGTAAGAATAATTATTCAAAGGTGTTTTACCAGAGGGAATAAATTTCGTAATGGACGGAACGTCAGTTATCATCAAAGGCGTCCCAAGCTTTTGTCTCGAGAAAAAGCAAACGATTTAAATTCATAAGAGCGAATATCAGGAGTAACAGTAATAGCCAGGCAAAACGGCAGAGAACGCCAGAAACCACAACGGAGACAAAAGATGTGAGTAACTTCTATTAATTCTACGTGTAAAATGTTCATATTTCGAAATTTTTAATGTTGTAAATCGACCATATTTTGTTCCCCATATTATTCCTTGTAACGTGTTCAAATTCGTTTCCTCTCGTAACCTAACACAATGTCACACAACGCGTGACGCTTTCATGAATTACTTGAGACGTGAGCTTGGGATACCTGTGCTATAATGAAGGACATTGTGCCCTTGGCATTCAGCTATATCGAAGTTAGTTCAATAAACAGTTTTTACTTTGCTGTTTCAAAATATTTTTAAGGAGAGGTGCTGTCGTTTTCGTCTATCCACAATTTTAATTTTCCCAGTTTATCTATGAAAAAAGTCAAACTCAAGTTTCTACGTTCTTTGCATAAAATATTAATTTCGTTATCTAACAGAACTTCCTGACTTTTTTCCAAATTTCGCAAGACAGCCCAGAGGATTTAGTCGATTTCAATATTCAGTATTGACTAGATGAGTTTTTCTTTTTTTTCTTTTAACTATTTGAATTTAAATATCTTAACAGAGTGAGCTCCAGAATTCTTTCCCCTTAGAATTCAGGCTGGAGATAATCGTTGTGTCAAAACAATACATTGTAAGATGCTTTTTATTCCTTACAAAAAGCCAGTTGAACTTGGCAATAGCTGAATAAAAGAGAACACTACATTGTAGGTTTGCTAATTCAAACAATACAACTGACACCTTGACACTCTAATAAGTCTCAAGGGTTAGATTTCAAATCATTTATTCATTACTCGTTGACGTACTAGTTTGATTAACATATAAAAACGGGTGCTAAATTTAATAATAGAAGTCCAATAAGGTGCTAGACGGTGTTCGTAACAGTTTACATTCACTACTATTTAAGACAAAGGGAGCAAAACGTTTTGATTCCATTTCGCAAGAACTGGGACTTAAAGCGATACGCTAAGAGGTCTACGAGAGGTTTGTTAGTACAGCAACAAGCAATTTAGTGTGAGTAAGCTGCTATTAATTTTTGGTAACTCAGATGTTTGTTCGTTATGTGCTGGTCAGAGGGGCAAACTGTAATCATTTATCACAGTATGGCTTCCTAAAGTTCGTTGTATTCTAAATAACGAAAGTGGTATATGAGAAAACCAATCTTTACTCGATCTCGATCTCTTCCTTACAACGAGACAGGTTGGCTTTGCTTCAAGGTGCATCTTGGAGGGGGGAGGAGGGGGGGGGGGGTAGGGAACTGAAAATCAGAAATTTGCCAGAATGTGTTTGAAAGCGTGAACTTTGATTTTTTTTTCTTTTTCAAGCATATCCAAAGCAGCGTCGGAAAATTACAAAACACCAAGACTCATTTGCCATAAACGTTTTTTCGTAGACAAACAAGTTTGCAAACGTGTCATGCTTTTTTTTAAAATTTGCATCTCTTATTCTGGTACCACATTCATGACTGCATATCAAAACCATCTTGCTATTTGCCTATAAAGGGCGAGAAAAGGCTTCGATGATTAAAAACGCCAATGTGTTATGGTTTGGGACCGAAAACTAATAACCAATGTTTAAAAAATGTCTCAGAGTTACTTAGAATTATTTAAAAAACCAACCTTAGGCAAGTAAAGTCAAATGAGTGCGTGTGGGTGTGCAATTACATTTTTTTTTTCTTCTAACAATAGCGGAAACTTATCGTTACCGCTACCGTTTCATTTGCTTTTTCTCTTCAGACTCACGTTCGGCACATTATAAAAATGAAAAAAAGGAAAATCTGTCACGCTGCGTCGGCGGGCAAATTACTTCTTTCAATACCAAGTGGAATTTATAGACGTACATAATCGCCATATTTCATATGAAGAGTTGAAGTTTCGAGATCCGCCGAGATAAAACGGAATATTGTAAAAAAAAATAGAAATCTATATATATATATATATATTTGTTTCTATTTATTTTCAAATTCTATTCTTAAAAGCCTTTTTGCTTTTGCCGAAGCAAAACGTCAAGAGCTAGTGATGGCTTGAAGAACGTTTCTCGAGTCTACTCTGTGCGTGTTCCTGTTTCTTTGGTGTTTTTTATCGTTATGGCCTTTGTATTTCCGCCATTTTTGTCACTTAACCCTTACATTTGTTTGCAATCAGGGTAAATTTTTGCTATGGCTACTTGCAAGAGTGACCGCTGAATGGTTGTGCGAATGAATATCGAAATCACCATCACAGACCAAGCAATTGCTAACAGATGTGGAATTAAATATAATTAAGTTGATTTTTTTATGACGTAAAAGGAAGCTATTTCTGAAGGGTTATATATCCTTTTCAATTTTAATAATTTAATGATTAGCTTTTGATGTTCCAAGTCACGTTTAGCTTAGTGAATAAAGGAAAAAAAAAAGAAAAAGAAAAGCTGTTGTTAAAATTACAAACAACTAAGAAATATTCATAACAAGACCTTTTTTCCTTCGTTTACGGATGAGTTAAACATTCATCTATCAATTCAAAGTTGATGAATGTCCAAAAAAAAAAAAAGGAAAATCATAAAAGACTTACTGTCAGCGAGAGACGTAATGGTCCTGGTTTGAAATGTGCGCATGCGTGCCAGAACGCTTACTCTCAGAGCGACTCTCTCGAACAATGGAATTTGAATGAATACAATCCTGTCCTGAAAAAATATACACTCTAAAACGAAACATTGTTATAACAAAAGTTAGATTGCAAAATAAAGATAGTTAAATATAGATAAGAAAATGTTCGAATTATCTATTTCTCAAAATGATTTAGTCTGACCTCTTGCCTGACATAATCTTTGGGGTTTCTTGTAAGGGACTGGTTTTAATAGCCCCCAAATGATCTAGGAATGGAATAGACCCTGTCAGTAAGGCGCCAGTTGGCTTGTGACGCTGAGGCTAATTGAAAATCACTTATCTGCTCAATGCAATGCTAAAACGAGCAATTTTTTTTTTCAACAGAAACATGAGTGCAAGCAATTCCTCTAATGAAATCACAGCTGACCCCCTCGGACGAAGCGATGTCCAAATCGGGGTTGAAGTCGCCTTCGCTGTGTTGATCTGTCTGATCAGCTTTATTGGAAATTCCTTGGTTGTTTACGCCATTCACCGCGATCGCAGACTTGACACCATAACGAATATGTTGATTGAAAATCTGGCGTTCAGCGATATTCTTATGGCGTTGCTGCATATGCCATTTTGGATAGTAAGTCTTCGGTATGGAAAATGGATCTTTGGTCACGTGCTTTGTCAAATGGTTGGGGTCACACAACTCATTTTTGGAATTGTGTCACTGTTGACAATGACAGGAATTGCCATCAATCGTTACTTCAAGGTCGTCAAACGCAAACTGTATATTAAGTTCTTCTCCAACAGGAAAGCAACATACGCGGGAATTGCGTTTTGTTGGTTCGCATCTACTGCTGTAAACACACCGCAATTGTACGGCTGGGGAAAAATTGACTATCATGTCAATTTCTCCGATTGCACCTGCGTCTGGGCTTTGGATGATGTATCATTCATCATATTTTTGTGCGCTGCTACAATCTTCATTCCAGCCACAATCATATTCAGCTGCTACTTTGTGATTTACAGAACTGTCCGTGAGAGCGCACGTCGTGTACACGGGCACGCAGCCTTACCGAACGCCACCAAAACCGAAGACAAGACCGAAAACAAAGTTTTGAAAACATCGCTAGTGGTGGTTTGTGTCTACATGATTTGTTGGACCCCTCTGTCAGTAATTGGCTTCATAGAGGTTTTCGGATCAAGAAGTCCACGAATGTTTTATTACCTGGCTTACGTCCTCGTCTACTGCAGTAATATGACGAATCCGTTCATTTACGGGATAATGAACCCCCAGTTCAAGAACGCATTTGCTTGTATACTGCAACTACGGGATTCTACTGCTAGTGAAGCCGAAAGAGTGTCGGTATCGCGAAATATAGCTTCTAACGTGGACCTGGCAGAAACATATATTTCAACTGCACAAGCAGTGCCTGTGTAAACTAGTCATCATTACGCTTATCGCTTTCATGGAAGGAAAAGTATCTGCAAACATCTATAGTCATAGCAGTTTTGTTCAGGGAAAGATTTCTGAGGCACACTCTAGTAAGCGGACAGTTCTCTGCTCTGGCCGCCCTGGACGCGTCACAACAATAAGATATGTGGAAATTGTTTTTAGCTGAAATTAGAATATGTTGATAATTTGGCAAGGTGTACAGGCATCAAGCAAAGAAGAACAAACAAAACCAGGAGTTGAAGGATATTAAGATATTTTACGCAGGTTATAAGCTCGAAAAGTTAAAGCTAATTTGTTAGGTGTTTGCAAGGTGAAGAGTTCTTCTATTTCAAATTTAGTTCTTCATAGTTTCGTCAAACTACGAAAGAAAACAGCCCGAACGCTTATTTGTTTTGTTTTGTTTTTTTTTAATTATTATTTTGACTATTTTTCTAAGAGCCCGAATGAAAAGTCTATAAAGTAATATCATGATATCTCCATAATTTGCATACCTTTTCTTTATGGATTTGCCCAAACGGAATCCCAGACGTGGTGAGAAGCTGATCCGTTAATAAAACGAAAAAGTTGTTTGAGTAAGAAGACGCATTCATCATAAGTCTTTATCCCAAATCTCTGCATAATACGAATCCCCCCCCTCTCCTTTTCCAAAAAGGGGAACTAGAACAAACCACTAGAACAAGAACTAGAACTGAGTTAAACAACGGAACAAGTAAAGCATCAATTAGCAAGTAAAGCATCAATTAGCTTTTTGAATAAGTGAATAAATAAACAAAATTAACACACCGTATTGTCGATCATGATCCGCTCAAGGCTCAACAAGCCCTTAATGTTAGTAGATAACCAGAATATTGTATCTGAATTGATTGCGTAGTACATTTAACCATTTTACTTTGAAAATATACGAAGATTGATGTGTATGATGACATTTCCAAGCAACTTATGCGGCATTGTGATAAGAGTTTATCTAAAGTAGTCTAAGTTTAGTATATAAAAAATATCTAAAACAAAATTAACTAGCAAAAAGAACAATATAACGATAAATTACGTGTAAGGCCCGGATGATATATTTTAGGTCAGGTCTTTTGGGATTCTGACGATTTGTACATTACTCATTACGATGACAAAACTTTCCTAGCTAGGAAATCAGAAGTAAATAGCGTGGTAATGTAAAAAGGTAATAAAAAGGTTGAATAAATTAAAAGCGTAACGTAAAAATTGCTTTGACCGCGCGTTGTACTCTTTAATAAGCGTGTTATCCATCCATTTCTTCGACAACCTTCAGGCGCTTAAATATTCCCTGACTTTGTAGGACTAACTGCGTGACATAGAAACGGTTATGCCTTATCTAGCGAGGTGTGATCATTTTGTAGGCTACATGACCGCCGTTCTTTAGGATGTCACGCAACGCTCTTCTTCAAATGAAGGGGGCGAGTCGCGTGTTCCTCAAGGAAAAATTAACATTTTGATGGAAGTCGATAATTCCGCCAAGGCTTTAGCGATAAGTTTTGAAATGGTGAAACAAAACAGAGACTCAAATTATTATGCTTCCAAAGCGTACTATCGGAGCGGATCTCGCGATTGTTCGTATAACATACCGTGTTAACGTTTGATATACCACAAGGAACCCATTAATTAAGGTGTGAATGCTTTTACTCGTAACTTTCTACGGGAAGTGTAGGAATATTGGAAAAATTCATATCATGGCATTACATTGTAACTAATACTGTGATGAAACATCAACATAAGAACTAACCAGATATTTTCTTTACCATGACGTCATAAAACATGGTATCATTGTGCAATTTTTAAAAACTTAGTCTCTATATTTATGTCTCTTGAAGCCCAGTTCACTTGAATGAGATCAAGCTAAGAGTCGTGTAAATGGCGTCATTTGAAATTTGTGACAAGTCCGGCTCAGATCAGAAAAAGAAATTAGCATTCATTTTTGAAAAATAGCTAAAGGAAAAAACATTTTGAGCAGCTTATGACTGAGAAAAACAAATGGATATAATATGTCTTTCTTCTGTACATATATATATATATTTTTTATAATAATTCCTTCTCCTTTGAGCATCTTTTTATGAATTGCTCTATACCTCGCTTGTTGTTTCGGAAGGATTCGAGAGGAGTTTGGGCTACAAGAGATTTATACGAAAGATAATTCTATCCACATGTCAAATATACCGAACGCAACTGAATACAATCACAGAACTCGACGTATATCTATTCCTGATAAAAGCGGATTTATCAAGTATAATATATCTAAACTTGGTAATAGCTAGAAAGGATATCCATTTTTAAACTAGTTAACTTTCATACAAGCACCATCGGTGCTTCTAGTTCCATGTCTTTTGTTTGATTTGATAATGGTGATAAAGTCCCGGATGCTTGACTCTCTCGACTTCCAGCTTCGCGTTGAGAATACGGTCTAGTAGATCCCAGTCTTCTCCACCCCACTTGTACTGATAGAGAGCAGTGTTCATTCCTTAAAATGAATAGATAAATAAGACACGAGCATGACTTTGCAATGAGTTATAAACATTGGCAGAAAAGGTAAAAGGGATTTTCTGATAGAAAACTTGCATTGAGTGCACATTTCTCTCGACAAGTCTATTTTCTCTTGGCAAGAGAAACAATTTTTTTGGCAAGAGGAGCATTTGTTTAGGAAAACTTTTCTTCGTTAATGCAGCTCGATGAATAGTTGTGTTTACATTCTTTATTGATCAATATTTTTGCGTGTCTTATAGTCATAGAGTTCACTGATGTGGGTGGGTTACATTGTGACGAGGTCGGTATTGAACCGGATGAAGTTTATTTGCGAAGTTGTTGATATAACTTTGGAAAGGCCCTAGCGTGCAAATTTCCATTATTTTTGCGTAAAATACTAAATAAAGCTGCGAACTCACTCATATTTTCATTTCAAGCTGTTGAAAACATACTTTGTTAATTTCCAAAGGGCTATAATCGTCGTTATGTCCCTGCTGTATAACTACTTTGATAACATATACCTACCTCCAAAGCGTTGCCAGTCAGATTTGTATACACTGAGAAAACCATATCCGCTTAGCTCCCAGAAGCCTTTGTGATCGACGTATGTGCTACCACAATCTAAGCGACCAACTACAGGCGCATAAACAAAGCGTCCCTCTATTGTGTTCTGAAAATAAACGAGTATCAGGAAAAGTATTGGACTGACCTTTCTTCGATAAAATTAATTGCGATACGAAATGTTGTTTGCAGTCATATCTTAGAAATAGATGAGCCCCTATCTCTCATTTAGAGTTGGTCGCACAATATCTCAATATATATCTCACATGTAGAGAGATATATATCTCAGTATATACATATCTCGATATATATCTCTCATTAGAGGGCAAAATAGGTTCCTGACAGTCTGATTCAAGCGACGAACTTAGTTTGGAAAAGGGGATTTATCCAAGTCCAGCTGAAACTCGTACATAGCTTTAATTGCGGTTGAGACGTCAAGTTGGCAGCCAAACAAGGAAACGCTTTTCCCAGATGGGAACAGAAATAAAAAGCAAGTCAACTCATTTTATAACCAAGTTGCATCCATCGTGATGGACCGATGGTATTGTACAAGCTCTCTGTACTCGATGAATCATGATGCTTTTGACTGTGCTACGTAATAAATGATTAGATAATTTGGTTTAATCAATTGACTTTATATTGTAAGCTAGCCATCGTGAGGAGTTTCCAAGCTGACGTTTAATCCACGGCTATATTTGCTATACTGTAAGGCAGTTGAGAGAAAAGGAAAAATGAAAATATTTGTTAACCCTAGGACGAACATGCAAACACATACCTCACTCAGGTACAAGGAGGATGAGGTTAATGGAGGGGTGGCTGGATCCCCCCCCCCCTCTAGCATTTTCGCTACGACGCAGTATCTTGTAAAGATTTACCTTAAATGGATAGCTTGTTATGTCGTCTACAAGATAATGTTAATATCATGGGAAAATGGAGCTGCTGGGGTCAGTGACGTTATCGAACATGTTTTTTTTTTAGATTTTTCACTTTTTCCACTACAATATTTGCCTTGTCAGAGAACAAAAGCTATCAAACTTAAGAGTAAAATCGAAAATAAGATTAAAAAAATAAATAGTAACTTTACTGTACTTCCCTTTTCAACTTAGAAGATTTAGTTAGTTAAACCACACCTCATTTGTCATTTAATATATTCTATATCTTTGAGTTGATTTCCACCAAATTCACAGCAAATATTCCTCCAAGATAAACAAACAGTTACTGAAGGGGAAAGTTGCTCAGAGGAAATCCTCTTCAGACAATTTTAAGAAAACCCGAGAGGAGTCCACCCCCACTCACCCCCTCACGCCCCCCTCACCCCCCTTCTCATCCCTTCCCCTTTGTACTTCCTAGGGTTAATTTAGTAGACACTATTTGATATGATCAAGCTAGGTCACCAGCAGTTATGAGAATTGATGTTAGGTTCTTGGAAGTGAAAGAGCTGATGACATTATCCGAACCGACTCACCTTGCGAACGCTGTCCAACATATCTACTGGTACGTCAGTATGGAGATCAAACAGAAACAGTAAATCTTGCGCACTTGGAACATGTTCAACTGCTGTGTTTAACGCCAAAGTCTTGAAAAATTTATCTTGTAACGAAATAATCGTATGTCTGTTGCGAAGAAGAGAGGTATCAAACGCCTTTGGCAAATCTATATCTTTACTCTCAAAGTCAACGATAATGACATGAAAGTTCGTATCAGCGGTCAAATAGCTAGCAATGGTGAGCTCGTTGATTAAGTGATAAACCCATTTTCCTTGATCCTTGACAGGGACTATGAAGTACACTTTAGCCTCTTTATTCCAAGCCATACCGTCCTGGAAGCACAAACTGTGATTGACCTTTTCTTGAAAGACGTGTTCTGACAGGCGAAACGACTGTTTAGTACCCTCTAAACCGACCTCCAGCTCAACAGAGTAACGATCTCCGTAAACTGGATCTGTCCTCTGCAGTATTTTGTGGATTCTCTTTAGAAAATAGTTTCTAAATCAGATCAATAGAGAATTAGTCAAAGATACTGAAACTCAATTTTAAGAGGCGTTATTCAATGGGCACTAACCCATATGACAAGACACATGTTTCTAATCTTGCGCGAATACTGTTACTGATTTTGCTAGGGAGATTCAGTATCTTGTTGGGAATTTATGGAACAGAGGTAGAGACGCAAGAACGAAACCAAAGTTTCTTCTTTCGAATAATTCTAAATAAACTTACTAATATAATGAAGAGATAAATATCACATGCAACACATAAACGGAAAATGAAAATAGAGAATTGAACTTATCTATGCTATTCTAAAATCTTCGATACGGAGGTGTTCTCAAGAATCCATTATTTGACGAAATATGGAATTTCATTAGTCAAGAGAAAGACTATCAATAAACATTTTGGCAAAGAAAAATGTAGTCTTTGATGAGGTGAATAGAATGCTGAGGCATGTACCCATTTTTCATCAAGATTTATTTGTTCGTGCCCGATAGGGCTGGTAGAGTAAGCTACAAGATTAGAGAGAAACATAAAAAAAGAATTAAGAATCGGTATTAAATATTGTCTCAACTATTTTTACCATTCGCTGTAGCTTTTTGTTGTTTCAGCCCATATAGTAATTAAGCAAAGATCTTTTATATCCTGATAATGTCGTCTTCAGGAGAGAAGAAAACGTATTCAAGCTGTATTTTGGAAGTGGACAGATAATTGAGTTTAACGTAATGGATCGATGGTATTGTAAAAGCTCTCTGTACACGAAAAATCACGCTACTTTTGACTGCCACATTTAGTAGTAAGATACCTATGTTATATTAATTGAGTTTATAATGTAAACTGACCATCGTATTGAGCTTCTAAGCTAACATTTCGAGTTTCAGCCCTTTGTCAGCCCCCCCCCCTCTCCCAGCGACAAAACATGATATTTTCTTTAGAAACTTACCTTTTGTATATATGATTAACTTACTTGGATGTTCCCAGTCTCAAAGAAGTCATAAGCTTATCCACAACTGCTTGAATTACATCCTTGTTGGCAACCTTATTTGGCCAAGATATTAGGTAGCCTAGGTCACCCATTGCAGTATCGTCCTCAGGATATACGATCGATTCAGGAACCGCTTTCACCCCTTCGTACGTATGAACTCCTTGCTGCAGCAGATAACTGCTTTTGTATTCGCACGAGGGTAAGTAACTTATTCTGGGAATGAATGGCAGAGAATAGAATGACAAGTATTCCTTTCTAAATTTTTTGGATTTCCTCATTGCTAGTTCGTGTTGGTGCTGTCCTAAAAAAGACATATGAAGGGCATCTTTTTTCTCTGTAGGAACTGGAATTTTGATTGGATAGGTGGATATGTAATTTGCATTTATCAGTTTGAAATCATCCTCTAGAGCACTCTTCCAATACAACTGTACAAAACCTTTCTCGGTGCCTTGTTTGTGAAGAATTTCGAAGTAATATTTCTTGCCGTTAAATAGGTTCACTGTTTTCGAAATTTGATCTGGATATTTATCCAATACATTTTCAATGGTCCAAGCAGAAGCATCCTTTGAAAACACTTTTGCTCTCAATTCCCTTTCACGTGGATCTTCACTAAAACTAAGCCAAAATTCTGATGCATCATCAGAAGCTATGGCAAAACGGTAGGACATACTGCTGGGTGGGTATAAAAAGCCAAAAATGCGTTGACCATAGTGTTCTGTGTTGTCTTGAATTTTAAAGTCGGTGATGAATACTTCAAACTGTTCATCGGGAAAGTAAGGGAAAAATATTGATTCTCTGAGTTGTGAGACGTCAAAGCCACACAAATTCCGCCATGTATGAACGTTCACTGCACCCATTAGAGGCTTTACAGTTGTTATGCCAGTTTCTGGTTGGATGTTTTTTCTTAACCGTTGTTGTGAAGACTTCAAAATGTAACGCCAAATAAAGAACCCTACTAGAGTAAATAAAATGAAAGCTTTCCCAAGTCTTTTCAGCTTGCGAGAAGAAAGAAACCTTCTACGAACTGCCATATGTTGGGATAATTCTGGTCAACTGTGAAAGCGAAGTGCTGATGGCTTCATGACCAACTTCAGAAGTCACCGTTGAAATTTCGTCTTGAATCCTTTTAATTTGACGAACTCAGACCCTGTGGAATCTAATTAAGATAACTGTATCATGAGTTTGTTTATTCTTTCTCGTATATGATTCACATTTCCTGTTTTTTTTAAATAAGAAATCAAATGACCTGAAATATCCAAAGTGTATTAAAATAAATTACGTAAAAATATTTGTTTGTTCAAATTAGCAAAAAGAAGAGAACGAGGGGTGGAAATGGACGACTCGAAATCTAATTATACATGTCATTGCTACTGGTTCTAAAATAAATACTACAAACGTAATACATTCAGAACGCAACAAATAATTCAGGGGCGAATAAAGAAATTCTAGAAGGAGGGGGCCGAAGAAAATGCGGCAAGAGCGCATCTCCCTTCCCCCCTCACATGCCCTCCATCCGAACTAGTCTAAGTGCAACCGTACCCTCCCCCTCCAAGGTGAAACCTAAGTGAGGGAATGAATAACATAAGAAATACGAGGCGCTCGATCGATGAATGTCGATAGTTACCGAATCATTTGGGAATTCGTCGAAACAGTATTTAGTGATGGATTACTTTTAATCACTTATGAACTAGGGAGAACACTTTCATTTGCGTAACCTGCACGAAAGTCAAACTATTTAAGAATAGCTGCGCGGACTGGGACTAGGCTGGTGAATTGGTTTCTAGAAACGCGTCGTTCCACCCTTCGATATGTAATAATGCTGGCGGTGAACTACTGTGTGATGCGCAGTGAACCTTACTGTTCGTCATGTCACGAGCGAGGGGCCAAAACAGTCCGAATTTCCTTATGTAACGGGAACAATAACATCGTTATTTAATTTATCACCATCTTCAAAATTTTCCATCTCTGATATTATGCTTACTGTAAAAAGGTTTGTTGATTAGACAATCTGCATTGTGCTGCTACTAAGAATATTGTTATTAGTAGTGAGTCAATAATAAATTTGCATATGTAAAAGTGAAACCAAGTGAAGAAAGTGACAGATATAATTTTGACCGGTATTACCAAGGAAACCGCGGTATCTTACAAAAATGTGAATTAATATATCAAACACGAGGAAGAGTGTTTCATCCAATATCTAAACACCGAGAAATGGTTGAATTATAAATGAGTTTGAGAAGCAAAGATCAAATCTCGCAAGGATATGAAATACGGTCCTTAGGCCGAATTTCCTTTCAATTTTGCAAACACATTTGAATTCCTATAATATATTTACTGCAAGCCAATAAGCAAAAGAAAACCACGAAAAGAAAACGATTCCTCTTGATTCTTCCAGGAATTTATAAGAAATGAGTTTAAGGGATTTTCCATCTTCAATTTGCTCTTTCACTCGAAAACGATTTCTATTGATTCTTCCTGGAATTTATAAGAAATGGGTTTAAGGAGTTTTCTATCTTCAATTTGCTCCTTCACTCTTAAGCTTCAGAATGCCAGTTCGAGCCGAGATTGAGTATCAGTGTTGTTGAATAAAAAGCGGGCGAACGATTGCTTAAATTCACCCAAAAAAATGAGAGAAAAAAAGTAAGAAGCATTACAAGTTACATGAATAATTGATCGGACGAGTACAAGACAACTCAATATGCACAAGTAGCATCCACAAAATATGCACAATATTCACAAACTTAGAAGTTAGTAACATAAAAAGCAGGTTTCTGTTGGATATTTTTCACCTTCTAGTCAGATCCTACCTTGGACGATAGAAATAGATTTCCTGCCAGTTACGTCTTCGTGAGGAAAAAAGCGCTACAAATCCAGACAAATCTCCATCGCGTGAATAAATGGTATAAGAAAGTTGCTATAGACTATATTTACTTCTTAAAATGCTAGTCATGTCCTGTCGCTTGAGATTCGGCGGTTATGTCTTTACAGCAAACTCAGAAGGGTGAGTTTAGGTGATATTCAACAATGTGGCTGTTTCACAATAAAAAGTTAATATTCCGCGTCCACGAGGTCCTCGTTCAGATATGACTTCCGGTTTAGAACAATAGGCGTTGTTTCTCGTGTCTGCAAGTTGCTAAGTGAGGGAACTGTTCTATGGAAACATTAGGGATTTATTTCGTTGAAAAACTCTGCGAAGAGACAAAGTAACTACATTAAAGAATTTATGAAATCTCAGTCAGGGCTAAATGCAACGGATATCACCTACTCATTGAACTCATTGATTCAATAGTTCAAAAAATAAGATGTTTTGGTAAACGAAAAGTTAACTATTAAAAATTGAACTGTAACCAGGATATGACATAGTGAAAAACGTGAAAAAAAAAACGTTTTCTGGTTAAAAAGGTTTTAAAATATGAGCTTTCGGCTATTATACTATAGCCTTTAACGAATGTAAAAATATAAGCGCGTGAATGGAAATATATACAGGGGAGGGTGTGAAAAAATTAAAAACTAAAAAATACAATAGAAGTGTGAAAAGCTAACAAATGGACAATAGAACAAAATCAAATTACAATAAGATAGAATATTGTCTTTGTAACGGTTTAGAGTTATTGTCTGCGCGGACAGTTTTTGCGGTATGCCAAGATTCTAGTGTTTTTCGAACGCGGTAATTGCCTTTGTCTATCACGGTAGCGCCCTCAAAGTCAATCGCGTGATTGTTTTCCCACGCATGGTTGGCAATGTTCGAGCCACTCGAACAATACAATACGTATCGGTTATTTTCGTTCCAGAAGAGACATAAGAAAGGAAGTGGTTGACAACAGTTGGGTGGTTTCTCTCGGAGTAAAACTTTTTTAAGGCGTACTGGAAACTTCTAAACACGCCAGAGGATAAAAAACTAAGTCAGTCTAAACTACAGACATTAGTCGTTTTAAAGACTTCTCAAGCCAAAACTATCCGCTAAACCGATCAACTGTTACCATCCTTAGTTCATACCGTGTACTTAAGAGCGTTTGTCTGTAAAAATCTAACATATCGCGGCAAGGGTGGAAAATTTGATTTCTTTCTTATTTTAATGTTAGATAGGCTAGACTATAACTAAAATCACGGGATACTTTTTTTTGGCAAAATATCTTTTTATTTCAGAGAAAAATACAAATAATAAAATTCCGTTGAAATCATCATTTTTAGCAGCAAATTATTGCACGAGTTTGAGGGCTTCGCGTGCAAAAACGAATCACTATCTCGTCTTTTAAACACTCAAATCTTCTTTTCCGATCTCATAAGACCTCACAAAATGATTTTTGTAAACATTGCGCTCTTCTTTGCGCTTAAAATAATTTAATTTCATGGCTATTCATGGTGGAATGATCAAATTTTTTTAATTCACGATGAACATAAGGAGGAGTACAAAAAATCTCTTTAGAAGCTCAGTCTCACGAGGCGCCAAGATAACAACTCTCTTTCATTATCGGAACGAAATTAAACCATACTCCTAATTTTTGTTTCTGTTTGTTTGTTTTTCGAAGAACTTCCTTGGACGCCATTTAGGCCCAACTGATATACAATTATGACTCGAAACTAAAAAGATCATATAGAAGGAAAATAGTTGTACCTTTTCTATCTTTCGAATTTCGGTAAAAAACATTTTTTGCGAGGATCGCGGGAAAATCTATTTGAGAAAATTTCAAGTGGCAGGTAAAACTATCAGTTTCCACTTAGCTGTCGATTTGGATGGGATTTTAAGTAAAGGCGTCGATAGCCTTGGTCTCTCACAGGATGCCTGAAGATTACGTAGAATGATCTTTGCTCAACAATGTGCCAATGAAAATGAAGGGAAAGAATTCAGTTGAATTGCTATTGATGGAGGTTAAATATTCATGAAAAGTTTTTATTATTGTAAGTGTAGTGTATTGCGTTACCTAAGCGTTACTATAGTCACGCTATATCCTGTAAGACACGATCGGTACATGATTGTAAAAGTACATTCCTATGTAAAAGTAATATTACTGATTCCTAGTACTGTATTGTGAATATAGCTTGTTGATTCTCTAATAAAATTCAGTTGAGCAATAGCAATGAAAGAAGTAACTTGACTGAATCTAGACGACACAACAGTAAGCATATGCAGTCATATGCAGGAGTAGATAATGAAACTAATGATAGTCATAAAAAAATAGCATTAACTTTGGTCACAAGCCTTAAAAATATTCCACATCCATTTCTGTCATAAAGCAATGGAGTGTTTTTTATGTCTGACTATGGAGTCTTTTGAACACTCTTTAAACAGCACTTTTCATGTATTAATCTTCTTAGTATTAATTACTTTCCTACTTTAACCCTGCACTATCGATATCTTCTGTTTTTTATTTTATTTTATTTTATTTTATTTTATTTTTATCGTACGATTCCTCTTTTTCTCTCATGCAATTTTATTTTTGTGTATATTGATGTATGAAATATAGTTAATTTAATTAGCAAACAATATTATATCCTTCTCCTTTTTTGAAACGGAGAAGAAAAAAGCTGCAACAACAACAAAAACAATCAATGGAGTCACTTTCGATGCGGCTCACGACGTACGTTCCGCCGGTGTACTGTCCATCTCCTTTGGGCTTTGAACTTTAGCAGGACGGGTAAATTGACTGCACTGAGCCTAGCACAATATCTTTGAAGTTGCGCCATTGAAAGAGGTCCCCTTCTCCTATCAGACACGTCTTAGACATGCGCGTGATTTCATCTTCTCTTATCACGCGACCCCAAATGTTGACACCTGTGAGTTTACCGATAAAACTTTGGCTTGCTTCAAAATTTCCCCCCAGAGAGTCTTGCTCTTGTCCTAAAATAAGGACGCCACCTCCGCGGATCCAGTGACCTATTGTAAAGAAAGTGAGGGCTGACTTAAGCTTTCATACGAGGGAACCCCAACCTCATTATTTTGAACTAATATCAGGCTTTGGAGAGCAAAAAATAGAAGAATCTGATATGTTGCATGAAGCAGCGGGGTTCAATGTAAGAGGTGCCCGAAGAATTATGTTTATTCGGCGGCAATCGGTAAGTTTTACCAAGTGACGTCAGAGGTGTTTACCTTTTGCGAGGCCGTGACCGGAAGCTGCAACTCGACCATCTTTGAACAATTTCCATGATCCAGCGATATTCTCCCACGTTGTGCAAATGTGATGCCAGTCTCCATCATTTGCTGATACAGAGGTACGTCTAAAGAGAGGCAGGCATTGTAAGTAAACAATTTGTGTTAGATGGAATAAATAAACTATCAGCACAAATAAATGCAAAGAAGAGAGAGGCAGGGATGAACAATTATCACTTATAACACTTCTTTCATCATTTTATTTTTAACTTGTTCCTAATTTTGATGCTTTGGTGTGCGAAGTCAAGCTCACGTTATCGAAATAACCCGTGTGTGCTGCCAAGTTGCTTATCAGTGAGTCTGAGTGTTTTAATCCTCCATATTTGAACGCAACTTCATGTATCAAATAAGTCAGAATGCTCTTACCTGTTTGAGCCTCCGACCCAGACAAGAAAATTCCTATAGTCATGTAGAAGCAGTTCGTTGTCCTGGCCAGAAACAGCGTAGCTCAGCAGTACTCCTTCGTTACTTGCAGTGGTTTTCATCCATAAACAAACTGTCATGGCATTTAGCCTTGGCATACCTCCAGAGATAACATAGTCGCTCGTTCCTTTTCGCGGGAAATACAGAGCATAGGCATTGCCTGGCGCCACTGAGGTCAAAGGAAAATAAAATTTTAAGGTTCTTCATTATTTTTTGAAGAATGGATACATAACTGCATGATAACTCAAAAAACGACTGAGTAAAGAAATTACTGAATTAATTATATAAAACAGCTGTCTGTTGTTTACCAAGAGAATATCTTACCATATGCACAAGTAGGCTGCTCTCCTGTCCATGATCCATTACCCAAGCAGTGACGTTCTGATGATCCTCTAAGCAAGTAACCTTGCTGACAACTGAATGAAATACGTTCCCCTTCCCAGTTTTGCTGTCCGTGAGTGAAGCCATTTTCCAGTTTTTTCAATGAAGGACATACTCTTTGACCTATATTGACCAAAAACCAAAAATGAAATGACCAACTTAACCAAAACAGGGCCCTAAATTATACCATTATTGAGTGGTTTTAGACAGCTTGTAACTAGAATTCTGTAAAATGACAGATAGTGTACAGAAGCTGCACTTACATGAAGGTTGTATTCCACTCCACTGACTAGATGGAAGACAAAGTCTCATAGACGGTCCAATGAGTCGATATCCCGGCATGCATGTGAAAGACACATATTCCCCTGTCCAATAGTGTGAGCCATGTTTTTGTCCATTGAGTGGAGAACCAGGATTGCCACAATTGATTAAATCTGAAAAAGACAAAGTAGAATCGTTAACCTAATCTCAGGGCAATGTGAAACCTTATAGAAAAGTGATCCGACTACCAAACTTCCTACACTGGAGAACTGAACCTAAACATGTAAAAACCTTTTTACATGCAAGCCAGCGACAAGAAACGGTGATTTTGACTATTAATTGCCATTTATATTGGTGTATATATCATATTTCCTGTTCAAATATTTTATATACTTACCTAAAACTGTATTAGCTTCGGCTGTAGCATTCTTATCATTATAGAATAGACATGTGAAGTTTCCAGCATCGTTCGGCTTGAACTGATGAATGACAAGCTCACTCCTTATCAAACCATTGCTGTGGTGTTCTGCTGTTGATTTTACTCGTCGTCCGTCCTTGATCCATTGGATTTTCGGTAAAGGAGTACCACCAGCGGAGCAACTTAAGTTAACAGATTCGCCAATACGCTGCACCTGTATTTTACTTACAGGGCTCGAAACAATGTAAGGATTCACTAGCACAGATAAACGTAGTAAGAACTGGCTGTTGGACTAATATTGAACTAAATGGCAAAATAGGACTTCAGCCTACTTTGGCAAAATTAAATGACTGAAGCAATTGTAAGCTGTTTAATAAATAACAAAGGTAATAATAATGATGATGATGATGATGATGATGATGATGATGATGATAAATTGATGACAATGAAGATCAGGACAATAATAATGATAATAATAATAATAATAATAATAATAATAATAATACTAATGATAATAACAATAATCATCATGATAATAATCCTGTTGTTTCCAACTGTGGATACCTTTCATCTGAATATCTTGGAATGCTTAATAGGCTCAGGGATGTGATCTGTTGATCTGACGTAGCCACATGTAAAAGTACTTTTAAAGACAATGATGTTTTGTCCTTCTTTAGGTTATTTACTAACCTGGATCTTTAACCACGACCCATATCACACCTATCACACTTTGTAACGGATTCACCCCTTGGCAAATGTAGTTTCCAAACTCATCTTTTGTCGTGTTGCGAATTGTCAGCTTGTTTCCAGAAATGACATGCCTGCTAACAGGGAGTTCACCGTGCGTTCTTTTCCATGTTACCACGGGGGTAGGGTGGCCAAATATGTCGCATTTTAGAGTAAAGTCCCGTGCTGTGTAAGCTGTCACAGATATCTCTGGTTTAATTATGAATTTTGTTGGTACTAGTGCAGAGAAATTAAACGCAAGGAAGTTAATACATGTAGATATTTTGTAACATCTTACTATTAGAATCACTTAGACAAACAGACAAACAAATAAAATAAAACAAATACCTTAAAAATATACCCCCCAAAAATGCTCCATATTTTGAAATAGAAGTAATTGAGAGACGATTTTCACTCATTTTTTTTACCCACTTTGGTTTTTTTAGTTCTAAGTAATATCTATTATGGAGACTGTTCAATCACTGTTGAGTAACTTGACAAGCAATGAGACCGAGATGAGGCGAACCAACCCGTATCGAGGACTGACAACAGTCGGATCATTGGACGTTGAACGAAGACAACGGTAATGTAAGCTAATGAACTGAAATGTAAATTCATTTAACAAACCTTGTACTGTGATATTTGCGGTTATTTTTTCTCTACCCAAAATATTCTCTGCGGTGCAGGTATAGAGACCACGATCTTCAAAAAGGATATTTCTAAATTCCAGGTGTCCTTCTTCAAATTGCTTCCTCTCGTGCTCGATCACTCGTCCGTTTTTATACCACGTTATTATGGGCTTTGGAAACCCAGCTGCCTTACAAGACAATATCACATTTTGATTCTCTCTAACCGTCAAAGAGGAAGGTTTTGTAGTGAAATGTGGTTTTTCTGAAAATGGGAAATACGATTTTTTATTCCAAGTTCATTCAAAGATCATTCTTTTACGCTATAGAACTTCTCAGAGCTGGCGCAATAATTACTAACACAAAAAAGTTTATAGCATCAAATTTGAAAGTACATTTCCACTTGTGGAAGAATAATGCTTATATTTTGTGTTTAACTTCATGTACAGTTTTATGGAGCAGACATCAACACGTTGAAGTGTTTGGTTTTGTCTTCAAGAGACACCAATGCACCAACGACTGGAGAGAGTCGTGCCCAATAACAGGAGCTAGTCACAACGATGGGATGTCAACAAAACTTCCATTCTAGGAAAATTTAGTAATATCAACTGAGCTGATGACGTAAACTGACCACCGTTAGGAGTTTTAAAGCCGACGTTTCGAGCGTTAGCCCTTCGCCATTTGATCTGATCGAAACTTCAGCTTTGAAATTCTTATGGTGGTCAATTTACGTTATCAGGTCGGTTGATACTACTTAATTACCTTTTTATTCTCTTCCACCGACGTAGCACCACAGTTTCTTTGGAAACTTACCCCCCTTATTCAACTTCCATTCTAACCAGGCGTGCCCGCCGGCCCTTTCTAATCCCCATTGCACTAGAGTACTCATCATTGCTATGACTGTTATATCAATTTTTTATTTTTCCATATTGTATTTCTAGTGGATTTCATAATGTATTTTAAATGTATTTCAAGCTTACATAGATATGGATGCATATTGTAAGATTGCAGAGTACTCAGAAAGCAAGAGTCGCTTCGTCCTATGCTTCCGTTCGTACCAATTCCTAAATAACACCAATCCGTATCACAGCAAACTTAAGACTGAATGACGCTAAAAATACGAAAATCTTACCTAACTGCCGCACATTACTTCCTCTTTTTGAATCTGTTGATTTTCCGGGGGGTCCTGGTAGTCCTTTGATTCCACGCTTCCCTTGGGGACCCGGTGGCCCCTTTTTTCCTTTTCTTCCTTTTCTGCCGGGAGGTCCCTGGGGACCTGCTGGTCCACGAGAACCGCGAGGGCCTGGTGGACCTTGAGATCCAGTGCGACCTGATAAGATCAAAGTATTGTAACGATTGGAGTAATGTGAACGTGTAGATTTACGACAATTTGTTCAATATGTGTGACAGGCGGTGTAAGCAGCACAGCAGTTTTCTGTTTCAGTGTGCTTATCTTCAGTGTGCTTATCTTTGTTACACCACTTTGATTACCTTGCACCGTGTTGCTATGGATTCTTGAGCGAATTTGTGACACGCGCTGACGTTATTCAGCTCTGTACCGTAAGGAGTCATAATCTCGACCGCTTTCTTGCGGCGAGATTCAGGAACGTGTTGACTACGAGCAGGCTGTCACTAGTTCGCGCCACAGTATGAGCGTTTCTTTACCCGAGATAAAGTTTGAGGTCTGGAGAAAAGCGATCAGTGCCAGAGCTCGCTTCACAAGCCTCTCGCTGGCTCGCTTTGATTAAGGCCTTATGACGTCTCGATGGCAAAGAAATGCTTAAGTCTCAGGGTTAATAATGAGGGGCTACTCGCAGACTACAGCCACATTATGATTATACCTTCAATGCAAACGATCTTCTCTTGACCTTTATCCAGTGTCTTATTCTGTTGATCATAAAAGATATGGGCTCTTGGCAAAATACAAGGCTGGAAACTTCTTCGGAATCTGTGTCTAGCTCATGAAAAATCACTACGTCAAAAGCCGTGCTAGTGTAGATGTCATTTTAGCTGGTTTCTTTGAGGTCTGCTGATATCATATGATAATATGATACGATCATATCAACGTGTGATGAGGAAAATAATTAACAGTATGAGGAAAATAATATAACAGTGTGAGGAAAATAATTAACCTTAAAGTGACATGTTGTTTGTGCGGTGAGCTTATAAGCTAAAAATAAATGAAAACGTTGTGACCAATAATAGTACTGAACAATAGCTCACATTTTGTTGTGTATTCGAGTTGGAACAAACCGTTCTACACTTGCTACAGATAGAAGGACTTGAAATATCTCTTTTGACGATTTGGTCCGTCGTCTTCCATCCACTTCCAGGCGCGTTCTCAGAGGTAATTTTAATAGTCGCACCATTTGCGTGTTGATATGGAGTACTTTTCAGCATCAAATTTTGCTCAATAGCTGTTAGACGACTGTCCAGTCGGTTCAATGAGTAACACGTAAAACCAAGTGAGCCCAGGGTGAGAATCAAATGGAAAGAAAAGCCATAAAGGAGAACGTTCGAATGCTTGACAATTTTGGTCTCCATGTTTGGAAATATCTCTTGTGATCAGTGAAACAGAAACCTTGTTGACTTCCGCTCTGAGTTTCTGCCAGCAGTTATGTTGTTACATAATGCTGACCTCTTTGCTCTATACCTATTCAAATTACGTATTTGTTTTGATATCCCGCGAAGCTTTCTGTAGTATCTGGAACATTCAGTCTTAGAGACACCGCCCAGATGTTCAAATGCTGGAACAATCAGGCACGAAGTTACCATGTTAATATCTCGTGTTTACAACGACTGTTTCCCCATTAAAAGATAACTCTAATATCTCAGGCGGTGTAACATTTCTGTAAGATATTTTAGAACAGAAAATGGATATTACGATCAGAGAGTGAACCTTCAACGTCGGCAATTTTTTAGGAGCCATTACTTCGCTCCTGCTCTTATTTGGTAATGGTAATGCAGGGTAAGCTGTACAAATCGATAGATCAAAGAATTCTCGTGTTAAGATGAAGTTATGTAAACACTGCCGTTGAAAATCCTCTATCGCTCGACCAAAATTGGTTGTCAAGATTGTAACCTTCATTTCAAAGATTCATTTAGCCTAGTATACAAAATGTCATTGTGTATTCAATATGTTGGCTTAGCGTTCCTAATAACGCTCTTTTTGCTTTTAATTTTTTCTTTTCGCGGGAGCTACCTCTACTTATAGTCTCTGGTAATTGTAAATTTCTATTATTCAAAAACAAATTAGGGATAAATTATGTGTGCGAACGTATTATCTTTGTTATCCCCATTTTCTTGCGGCTTGAAACTCGTGTAAATTAGTTCTAAAAATCCGATCTGCTCACCCGTAAAATAAGTCACTAATTGAACAAAGCTTCGTTTTAAAATTTGTGCGAATTAGTCTAGACATTACTGATTTGCACTGTCCAAATTAATAATAAAATGAGCTGCGTTTAGCCAACAAAAATGGATTTATTTTTCAATCAAAACGTGGTGAGCCCAATTGATGGACTCCTTAAATTTCCTAGGATCAGTTTAGAATTCGGAAACTTTAAGCGACGCGCTAATCGATCGGAAATGCAGCCCACGTTATGAACTTATCTGACAGACTAACTTTCCGGAGGAATTCCTTTTTAGATTTTATTTCTGAATATTTGATCTTTAAAAGAATTGAGGATTCAGTAGAAATATGATGAAATTATGCTTGAAAGTTTTCACTTTTGCCCAATTTTTCTGCATTTTTTTTAGGTACAAAAAGTAATTTGCTGTGTTGATCTATTAAGAGACATCATTTGGCTTGTTCATCCGCAATTGCCGGATGAAATAAAAAAGCTGAAGGGTTGTCATAGATGAAAATCGTTTTCCTCTATGACTTAAAATATTGTAGAAACATCTTCCAGTTCACCAGAAAGGTACGTTGTATGAAATAATTGCGAAAACATTCGATCTCAGTGCTGTTCGAAAGTTTTTGACTTAAAATGGCTAAGGCACCCAAGTTTGTGAAATCATGCTAATGATCAACTAGCCATTGCAATGAACTAAAATGTAACATAAATGGCATAAACCGACGAAGGAAACGAAACAGACTGTGAGGAGCCTAGCTAATAATGTTAGAAGGCTCAAAATTACATATAGTGAGGAAGGATTGAGCCAGGTATCACGTAGGTCTAACTTTTTTGTGTTGTCTTAATAAGGCACCTTTTTTTCATTTTGAGGTGATTGGGTCAATACTTAAATTGCTTTGCGAGTAATCATCGATAATAAAGAAACGAATATTTTCGTATTGCTCTTTTGTTGGGTTATAGAAAGTGGACGCAGATAAACACCTCTCGGCATCAGTAAGTGTATCAGTTGCCTGGTACTAAGGTGGAAGAATTACTTTAAACTTGCCAATAACTTGCGATTATCTGAAATTACACCGAAAGTGCAAATTAGTCCTCAGTAAAGCATCTCAGTGTTTCATGTGGCAGTAATTTAGAGTTAAGCAAATCGCTATGTCCAAGCTCCTTAAATGGGATTTGATAGGCATCTCAGAGTTGTAAAACCGTTTGACATCAGTTCATACGTGTCATCGAACGGTGTAAGCCTTCATAGAAGCGAAAAAAACTCTAGAACAACCGATTTTTCTTATCCTTTAGGTCATTTTTTCGTTGAAAATCATTGGGAATTAAATGGCTGCCAACACTACCCACAGAAACCACAATATCACAGGCGAAGACGACGAGATGCCAGTTCCTGCCTCCCACTGTATTCCATGGCTTTTTGTGCACATCACTGAATGTCTGGCCATAGCCATCTTTAATATAATCACCATTATTGTATTTGTGAAACAGCGCAAGCAGTTACAGCGCCGAAGTACATACTTGATCATCCATCTAGCGGTAGTCGATCTCTTGGCCGGGGCAGTCTCAGGGCCTCTTCAGATTGAATGGAGAATGGCAAAGTTTTGTCAATTGTGGAATTTTAATCTTGATATTTCTTTACTTCGCTTAAAAGCCGCGTTAGGATTTTTTCCCGTTGCATCGCTCATCAATCTCGCTGTTGTTTCTTTGGAGCGACTGCACGCAACATTTTGTCCATTTAACCATCGTTTTATGGCAAATTGGGTTTATGGAGCAAGTATCATTGTCTTCTGGGTCATTATAGCAAGCATGCAAGCAACTGAACAACTGATCGTTTCAAACAACCTAAGCTACTACATCTTTTATTTTTTATGTTTCTTCATTCCTCTCTTCACCATTTTAATTTCTTATGCCAGTATCTTTTTCAAAGTCCGCTACTGTCGTCATCTTCAACATCTCGGGGCAGCTGTCCAGAGGGATAGAAAACTAACCAGAACCTTATTTCTTGTCACTCTCGGATCATTGTTCACTTGGTTACCACTGATAACATACCAATGTCTACTCATTTTTCATCCTGAGTTACATATAACTTTCGAGTCAGAATTCCATGTTGATATGTTATGGCAGACTATTTTGCTTTCGAATTCGTTGATCAATCCTATAATCTACGCCATGCGGATGCCAGAGTTAAGGGCAGGCATATTGCAATATTTCCGAAGGAACTCAAACCACGTTAACCCGCTTGATTTGCCACTGCATGATATTTAATTCGCCGTTTGATCTTTAATTTCCCTGTTACCATAGAGCAAGCCGCTAAATCTTGTCATCGTTCCACATCCGCTGGAAAAGACTGATTACAATACGTGTGCAACAAAATCAGTTTGAAATGTTTCATGCGTAATTTCTCAATGCAGTATAATTTTCCCGCCAATAACATTGTCATTAAAGCAAAGGGTGAAAGGTTTCGTCTGTTTAGTACGAATGGGGAACAACCGTCGTTAAGTAACGCATTCTTTAAACAATTGACGGTTCAGGCAGGCACAAGGCAAAAGGAACGATTGCAATGGACTATTCATAGTGAAGGACTGGATCCGAGGTCGACGAAAACGATTTCATACTACCTAAATCTAAAATAAATTAACTTGAAGAATTGGTCCAGCTTCATTTTCTCCCTCAAAAAGTTGATCAGGTGAGATACAAAATTTAGGTATTAGACGCAAGTCTCTTTGCTCTACGCATGTAACAGAGGCATTAAATTAAGTTCTTCAGTTGTTTTATAAGCAAAACAAATCCTCACTTACATTAACACATCAATATTTACGTATAATTTTATCCCAGCTTCTTCTATCTTAAAAATACGCGTCGTGTTATGACTAAATAATTGTAAAGCCAATACATACGAAGCTTTGGCTCTATCGGCTCATAATTGTTTTCTTAATACGCATAGAAGTAACAAATTAGAAGTCTATGTAGTTGGTTCAGCCTATTTCGTCTAACGTTTCGACCGACATTAACCAAAAACTTCTAAGTCTTATTTGACAGAGTAGCTCCAAAATTCTCTGATGATACTCTGATCTATGATAGTCTGAGCATATGCCTGTCTATGTAGAGTTATGGATTGCTTTGATTCAAGTATGCTAATGTATTTACAGTATACCAAATCCTCCCCCCCCCCCTTAAGCTACTTTCTACCCGCATGTAAACTTCTGTCATTACGCAATGGATAATACAAATGACGAAAAATCATTTCAATTTTGATTACGCCCCAGTCTTTTCGAACTGAGCAATATTTACGACTGTCTTACAATACCATTATATGTCGATATTCATAATTATTTAACATCGTTTCATGATCTGTTTTGTTGTTGTTGTTGTTGTTGTTTCTCTTAATATGACCGCTTCTTAGCGCTTCTTAGTAGGCTCGATTTAGAACACAGAAGTTAGTGTCTCTGACTGCTCATAAACCCGACCAGTAAGAGGATAGCGTCACAGATTAACCACTTGACAAAAGACGGTCTACCGTATTGGCAAATTCAATTCTCAGAACGAGGCTCTGCCAGTAGCATGAAATTAACGTTACAACTACCCCGTACAAACGGGCTTAAATATGGAGTCGTCTTGAATCCGGTACTTTGAGCCTCTATCTGTCTTTGGGCCTCTATGTACTGCAATAACAACATAATTTTTCCAATGTAAGTGCCAAACATTACTGGTTATTACTTTCTTGAGAAAAGGGCTTAATAGAAGAACGGATAAGATTAAATGCCGATCCTTCTATAGTCTCATTAGCACACCAGAAAAAAAACTAAACAACAACAACTAAACAACGGCTGCGAGGGAGATTCCTCCTTCTACCATGGAGGTAAAAGACACTCAACTTAAGAATCAAACTGACTCTTCCCCTCTAAAAAGCAATATTGTCAAAATGTTGTGCTTTCTGTGCACTTTATCGAGGTCTTATAATTGTTGGGCATCGTTCCAGAGAAGAAGAAGGGGTTAACGACCGCATTTTAAAATCATTGGAAACCTGAACAAGATTTGAAAAGCGGATATGTTCTCTTTCCACATGAAAGTCCCTCTTCAGAGAAGGAACCACGAGATGGTTGTGCAGAAACTTATTTTGAACTTAAAGCTCTAAAATAATTACGACAACTACTCTGTTCTTGTGTGCATATTCTTTTAAGCTTCTTGTAATTTTCTTGGAGTTACACAATAAATTACAAAAGGGCGTGGGGGGGGGGGGGGGGGGGGGGGGGGCGCGATGACAGGGGCCATCTATTTTTTCTAAGGATCTCAGGGATAATCTCTTACCTGCTTGAGACTGGTGGACTTGTCCCAGCCACTGGGGAAAGTGGATACCTCTCAACTCTGCAGCCTAAAGTCACAAAAATAAAGCGTAAAGAGAAAGCGGAAAGAGAAAGGTAAACATGTTGGCAAATCGTGAGCCTGGTCTTTGAAAATGAGGATTTGAACCTAAGACCTTTCGTTTAGCAGATACGACCAAATGAGCAATGACGAATTGAGCTAGGCTACGCACTCGCCTCGTACATGACAAGCTCTCTATATACCGCTACAATCCTGGACCAAAGTTGTTTGGAAACCGTTACTATTGTGTCCAAATGTATGCTGTCAAAACTGCTCTCAGAGTTCCAAACTCTCCATGCCTTCTCTCCCTCTCCCCACCCCTTCCTCCCTAATTCAAAAAAAGACGACAGCTTTCCCTGTTGCCAGGACTTTTATGAACATCGCAAAGAGGGAGTAGGGTACTGTTGTTCACATGCTGAGAAAATTTGCTCATTTTTAACATTTTTTGTCGTTATTTTCCAGAATTTTTCGAAGATTGTAGGATCAGTAATGTGGAAGTAAGGATTAAACGTTTCGCTGATTAAATCGTCTATCAAAATGAAAATACATTGATTTAATTATCTTATCAAACGATGCAACACTTTTTTTCAACTCACCATAAGCAATCGGCGTCAGTTTGAAGACTGTGTGAAAAGGAATGTGAAGATTTGGCAGTTCTCCTAAAGAGAGAATACTACAGTTATCCCTTTTGTCTGTAGGATTCATTCTTTTTGCAATAATCTAAAAAAAAGCGACTGCGTAGCTCCAGCAGCACAGATAAAGAAGCTAAATTTGATTGTAACAGTATGTTGAAAAGCCTACCTGAGCTGTGGTCCAGAAAGTATGCCATGAGACACTGCAGGATAGCCTATACGAGGGACAAAGAAAAGAGCGACCGTGTCACCACAACATGATTCATTTTTCTTTGGTTTGTTTGTTTTCTATCATCTCCTCAAGAAAAACAAACAAACAAATAAAGGATAGAGAGGAAAAGCTAATAAATAACAAACAAGCAAACGAAGAGACAATTACTTATATAATAAGTTTTTTTTGGTTAAGTTCGTGTTGTTATAATTCCATATGTTCGACTTTTAAAGCATTTTAAAGAAAAAGCTAGGAAGTAGGATCAAAATGGCACTTGTCGTGTAACTTTCTAGAATTGATAGAGTAGCATGAGTCAATTTTCTTGTACAATAATTCATTTTCCACATGGAAGTTCCGCTTCAGAGAAGGAACCATGATATGGTTGTGCAGAAACTAGTAAGGAACTTAAAGCTCTAAAATAATTAAGACAGCTGCTCTGTTTTTGTGTGCATATTCTATTTAGCTTCTTGTCATTTCTTCGGAGTTATCGTAATGAATTACAAAAGATGAGAGCAGAGCAGAGCAGTCTGTCAAATAAAGCGGGCGAATTGGGGAAAAAAACTTACCTCGTGGCAAATAACCAAGACATTGGATTGTCTTTCTAATTCCTAAAGTAAAAGAGAAGACAGTACAAAGAATTAACATCGCTTCAAGGTCGTTGACAAGTCGTAAATGTTCTTGATTGTCAACTTACCATTATAACTGGTTCGAGTCGAGCGCACACGTCACTATAAGACTAAAAGAGAACAAAGGAAATGTCAAGATTTTAGAATTTCATTGATTGACTTAGATTTTTCGTTTGAGTAATTTCAGTGAGGGCCATGGATTAATCGGTGTTTCTAAAACTGTCGAGTGCTCTCTGATGTAAATAAAACCTATCATCAGTGTTCTCCTTTTCAGGTAGTAACCGGTAACATTTATCGCCTGTAGTACCTCTTATTACCGTTTAAAATTGCTTGGAATTCTTGAAAATTCAACAAGTAAAAGGCTTGCTTTACTGGTTTGAAAATTTATTTATCTGTCATGCTTAAAATAAGGGAGAATACTGCTTTCATTACTGTAAAATCAACGAGGAAGACAAAATTGAAAAACTTGATTCGACCTGAACAAAGGTAAATGTCACATTGTGAGGGGGAGGGAGGGGGGAAGAAATTTGTAACGGAAAGGACACATTACCTCTCCCCTGGGGTATCGATAATTGAACGGGTGTTCTTCTATAACTTTGTGTTCTTCAGGGTCCATCTTTTTTATCTCATCCAGAGTCATTCCATCATAGATGCCCTGATATCGAATAAAAAAAAACAAACAAACAAGACAAATAGAAAACAAAAAAACAAACAAAATTAGTCAATATATTTTCTTTATCAATAATTTGATTATTTAATCAAATAAACGTCTGAAAAATGAAATGACAGAATAAGTCAAATCAAACAGGACAATTTGTCACATACATGTTTGGAAACAACTACTGAACTGACCAATCAGATTAATGGACTAGATATCGGTTTCACTATCTGATATTTTTTTCCAAGATTCAGCCTCGGGAACATTACACAATAGCCCTGTTGTGAATGATAAACTCGCATGGCCTACTACGATTTCTTAAGGCAGGAAACCAACGTTAGAAAAGCACACAAAATACAATCATTACAAAACATTTTTTGGCACAACTACAAGGAAGGACTTACGTGGTCCATTTCATTCAGTGCCTTCCATCTCTCAGTTGTCACTCCCTTGAGATACTGAGCAGTGTCCACTGCCCTTTTTAACTGACTTGTCCAAACCTAAAATTAATGCAACCAAGTTAAAAAAAAGGGAAAAAAAGTTATTCCCCCGTTATTGACAACAGTTAGGTTAAGGATTACTCTCGCCGGACGATGAGACTACACGAACAAAGGTTCAACCACTTTACCATTGAATTTGTTCAACGACAGAGGGCAACTAAATAATCTTGTGAGCCGTTTATTTTTGTTCGATAACAAGAAAAAAAACCTAAGAGAGCCAGATAAATTTTTAATTTCCAGATACTCGTTACATAACGTTTCTGCAAACCTTTAAATCTTTGATTTTTTCATCTTCGATAAATTTCGCCAGAGCTGATGAAAACTGTAGGAAATAAAGAGACAAGAATGCTGTTGAGCGTAGTTCATTCATTGGTGTTGCAAAGTCAAGTCAAAGATTTGCTGATAGTCCCGAATTTCATGAAAATTGACCCTTGAAGCTCGAAAACTTCAAGTATCAAGAATCGGGTTTCGACTAGCAATAGGGACGGCTAAGAAACGTACAAAGTTTTAAAACGCACTTGCAAGGCCACTGTTCTGATCGTCGCCGTCGCCGTAGTGTTCTTGCTTAAGGTCTGTAATACCTCAATTACAAAATCAGTGTTAATGACAGCGACATACCTCCTCTCCTTTGGCTGTCAGATCAGAATCGCCCCCAAGTCTCTTTTGAACATTAAATTCACTCTCACCATGCTACAATGAACCCAAACAATTTTGAGGACTTGCATATCAAAATACTGAGATATAATTATTTTCAAAATAATTAAACAATTGTTTATAAATAGTATTTGTGAGGTTTATGAAATATTCGGTTTTCTTTCTCCTTGCCACAAAAAAGGGGACAAGTTTAAGACCCTCATCTCGTACTTAAAATGTAAATATTAACTTCTTACAAACCGAGCGCGAGGGCCGTACAAAAACGACCGAGGGCCAATATTTCTCAGTACTGCTCGGGCAAGTAAGGTTAGTAAGTAACTTATTATATGGCACTAGTTAATTGGAATTTTCCGGCTTTCAAGAACAAAAATACACAGCCCATAACCGTTTCCGTAGAAATCGTCCATATGGCAAAATCCCTACAAAGTAAAAACCAATGAGATCGCTCGGATTTACCCCAACACTACCTTACCATAGAATAAATGGGACGTATTCATATTATGTATTAAATATAAAGTATTCCTCAGGATTTGGCTTGTTTTTACCCCCAAAATTCCTATCAATACTAGGCTAGTTGCTTGGAAAATTTATACAAAATACACATGTCGCCAAAGTAGGTTTACTCCGTTACACCTGTATTTGCACTATGAGTGAATCATTCCTCTCGGTCTCAGTCTGGAGGAAATGGGGAAAAAAAAACTCACCCTAGCAAGATATATTGACCTCTTCTTGATATGGGAGTTCATCAAAAAATAGACTGCTCTGCTTTGAAGGTAACCTACCGAACAATATTCAACCAATAAACATGTAACTGTTTACTTTGCATAACCTTTATTTTTGACATATTACTTACAACGTTTTTATCTTCATGAACAAGTCATGCAAACTCTAAAAACTATTCCAAAATTAGCTTTAATCAATTCATATTGAACTTCTGTATTTCATCATATTTCATTGCCGAGACTTACCATCAATGCTGTTTACTATGTACTGTTCTCCTGCATTGATGATCTTGATGAATGAAAGATGCCTTTTAAATAGAAAAATACGAAGAGAAATAAATACATGTATAAATTAATCTATCAGCTATGTCAAAATTGATTCT